CCGCCCCGCCCCGCCCCTACTTCCCCTCCTGCCATGGTGCTCAGCTGAGTGCTGCGAACTGAGTGCTGCGAACTCATCTGGGCTGCGGCGGGGGAGCCAGACAAGCCAAGCGACTGTTTGGGCTCCCCCACAGCAGCCCAGCTGAGGGGCACAGCGCTCAGCTGAGCGCCACGGCGGGAAGGGAAGGGGGGGCAAGGCGGTGACGTATATGGCCAGGAGGTGGGGCCCAGCCATGTACATCACCATCCTGCCCCCCTTCGTTTCCCACTGTGGCGCTCGGCTGACTTCTGCACCACTCAGCCGGGCCACCACAAGGGAGCCCAAAGGGCCATTTGCTTCGCTTGCTCCTCTGCAGCAGCCCAATTGAGCAGTGCAGAACTCAGCCAAGCACCATGGTGGGAGGTGAAGGGGGGCGGGGCGTTGATGCACATGACCCCACCCTCAGCTATGTACGCCAAAAGGATAGGGTAAAAAAACCCCAGACATCCTTGATTGGAGGCTGGAGGGGGGAGGGGCAAGGGGAAAATGGAGGAGGGGCAGCCGGTGGGAAGCAAAGCTGGTCAGGGGTGGGGGTCAGAGGCTGTGAGGCTGGTTGTGGGAAATCAAGAGGAGGAACTGGCTGGCGGGGGGCGGGGAGAGGAAATCAGCTGGCGGGGAGCCAGACTTACCCGGGCACATGCAGATCCCAGGGTGCTGCCCGCCCAGGCATGTGCATTCCCGACGGAGACAGAGGAGAGAGGAGAAAGAGTGAGAGGCAGGAGGGGGAGGAGAAGAGAAAGAAGGAAACGGAGAGAGAGGCAGAAGGCGGAGGAGAGCTGAGAGAGAGGGGGGAGGCAGTAGGAGGAGGAGGAGAGAGAGAAAAAGAGACAGAACGAGGGACCAGAGGATCAGGAAAGAAGACCCATGTGCAGGAGAGACCTGAAAATCCTGTCTTATGATGGGCTAATTGGCTAGTCATATATATAGTAGCCCAATGTCTGACACGCTATAACGCTGAAATGCTGGCTGTTCCCTCTGGGTGGCGCAGTTGCCTCCCACCGTGGTGCTCAGCTGACTTCTGCACCTCTCAGCCAGGCTGCCACGTGGGAGCAAGTGGTGCAAGTGGCTGGCCAAACGGCCGATTACACAGCTTGCTCCCACGCGGCGGTCCAACTGAGCGGCACAGAAGTCAGCCAAGCGCTACGGTGGGAGGCGAACGGGAGCAGGGCACTGACGTACACAGCCAGGGAGAGGGGCCTGAAGCCTCCGTCATGTCCTTACTGTGCTGACATCTGGTCCAGTCAGTCCGGGAGAGATCGCCACCTGGAGTGGGCCTGGGAGAGAGTCACAGGCTGGAGGAGCACAAGCAGCTGCACAGTCAGCTGGAGAGAAGCGGTGCTTTTAAGGGGAAAGTGCTGCTTCTCTCTAGCCGCCTGCTCCATGGCTGCCCCCTGCTCATTCCTCCAGTTGGCACTTGTGAGTGGGGGCTGGGCACTGAGCTCGGCCAGAAGGGAAGGCAGGAGAATGAGGGGGAGGTGGAGGACAACTGGAAGGCTGCAGGATCAGTGCTGGAGTGAAGGGAAAGAGAGGGAGGGGGAGGACAGCTGGCAGGCCACAAGATCAGTGCTGGGGTGAAAGGAAATGGTGCAGGAGGGCAGCTCATAGGCAGCTGCTCAGCCGGGTTGCCGTGCGGGAGCAAGTGGTGCAAACAGCTGTTTCGGCTCTGCACTCCCCATGCAGGATGAGGAGGAGAAGAGAAAGAGAGAGTGAGAGGCAGGAGGGGGAGAAGAGAAAGAAAGATGGAGAGGGGGAGGAGATGGAGGAGAGCTGAGAGAGAGATAGGGGGAGGCAGTAGGAGGAAGGGAGAGAGAGAGATGGAGCGAGAGACCGGAGGCTCAGGAGAGAAGACCGATGTGGAGGAGAGACCTGAAAATCCCTTTTATGATGGGCTAATTGGCTAGTTTGAATTATATTCAGGGAGGTTACTCTTGATCTAACCCAGGATGAGTGAGCAGGGAATCAGCCTCATTGACTCCAGTGGAGTCACTCCTGATAAACACCAGGGCTACGTCTACACTGGCATGATTTTCCGGAAATGTTTTTAACGGAAAAGTTTTCTGTTAAAAGTATTTTCGGAAAAAAGTGTCTAGATTGGCAGGACGCTTTTCCACAAAAGCACTTTTTGCGGAAAAGTGTCCGTGGCCAATCTAGACACGCTTTTCCCCAAAAAAGCCCCGATTGCCATTTTCGCAAATGGGGCTTTTTTGCGGAAAACAAATCTCTGCTGTCTACACTGGCCCTTTTGTGCAAAAGTCTTTCAGAAAAAGACTTTTGCCCGAACGGGAGCAGCATAGTATTTCCGGAAAAGCACTGACAATCTTACATGAGATCATCAGTGCTTTTGCGGAAATTCAAGCGGCCAGTGTAGACAGCTGGCAAGTTTTTCTGCAAAAGCAGATGATTTTGTGAAAAAACTTGCCAGTCTAGACACAGCCCAGGGTGAGGAAGGGCAGCAGGGAGCCTTGCGCTCTTGGAGCCTTTTTGTTCTCTGGCCGGAAGAGCTCTGCAGTTTCATTGTTCGTGGAAGCCAATGTTCTCAAGAATGTATTTAATGAAGATTTATCCAGACAGTGATTGTGTGTTTAATTAAAAACTGGTATTTGTTTAAGGCATATTAATGTAGAAGGCCATAGAGAGCCAGCTGCTCAGCATGGATTTCCAAGCAGCAATACAAGTTCACCCCAGCTGAGGATCTGGCTCCAAGCCCCACCTTCACCCCCCTGCAGTTGCTTTGAGAATCCCAGCTCTGATCCAGCAGCTGCCTTTAGCAAGGTCCAGCTTTACTAGAAAGATCAGGTCCTGGCTGAGGTGGTACAAGCCAGGGTGTAAGGAGCCAGCAAGAACAACCTAGGATCTTTCTGTTTTCCACCCATTCAGTGGAGCCACTGAGCCATACAGACCCTGACAAAGGCTCACACCATTCACAGCCAGACATTGCACAATAGGGACTCAAGATAAACACCAGCCCACTCCTGCAGCTCCCATTGAGCTCAGTCACTGGACCACACATGCTCCCAGAGGTGGGGATAGAACCTAGTAGTTTTGACTGCCAGCTCCCGTGCTCTAACCATTTTACACCACACTCGCATTACAGCCTTTGGGTATGTCTGCACTAGCCCCCTAGTTCGAACTAGGGTGGCTAATGTAGGCATTTGAAGTTGCAAATGAAGCCCAGGATTTAAATATCTTCCTGCATCTTCCTGTCCGGGCACCATTTTGAAATCCCCCTAGTCCAAATTAACTGCTACACGCGGCAGTCAAACGTTAATTCGAACTAAGTCCTTAGTTTGAATTAACTGTAACACCTCATTCCACGAAGTGTAACAGTTAACTCAAACTAAGGACTTAGTTCAAGTTAACATCTGACTGCCCGTGTAGCCACGGGCAGTTAGTTCAGACTAGGGGGATTTAAAAATGGCGCCCAAATGGGAAGATGCAAATCAAGCCCGGGATATTTAAATCCCGGGCCTCATTTGCAACTTTGAATGCCTACATTAGCCTCCCTAGTTTGAACTAGAGGGCTAGTGTAGATATACCCGCTGGCTGTGTCTACACTGGGCCACTTATTCCGGAAAATCAGCCGCTTTTCCGGAATAAGCTGCGAGCTGTCTACATTGGCCCTTGAATTTCCAGAAAAGCAACGATGCTCTACTGTACAAAATCAGCCGCTATTCCAGAAAAACTATTCTGCTCCCGCTCGGGCATAAGTCCTTATTCCAGAACACTGTTCTGGAAAAGGGCCAGTGTAGACAGCCCAGTAGTCTTTTCCGGAAAAGCGCATCTACATTGAACACAGACGCTTTTCCAGAAAAGCAGCCTGCCAATGTAGACGCTCCTTTTCCGGAAAAACTGAAAACGGGATAGTATTCCGTTTTAAGCAGTTCCGGAAATTCATGCCAGTGTAGACACAGCCTAAGAGTCCTGAGCCCTTGTTCCTGATGTTTTAACCACTAAACTCACTTTCCCCAGATTGGGGGAAAGAACCCAGGAGTCCTGACTCCCATGCCACTCCTGGTGTAACCCCAATTCCACTCTCAGAGCTAAGCACAGAACCTAGGAGACCTGGTTCCCAGGCCTTCACCCACCACTGTAACCAAGACCCTCTGGTATTTTACCTTGGAGGACTTGGAGCCATAGAAGGTCACACGGTCCCAAGTGGCTATGAAGAGCCAGGCTGCAGTGAACTCTTCATGAGGGAAGTAGACATTGATGTCAGCCGTGACTCTCTGCAGAAGCTGTGGATCTCGACTCTGCCGGTAACACACCTCACCCATGATGCGGTTATCCACATCAGCCCAGAATGGTGCCACAAAGGCCCGGCCATCAGTCAGTGGGAAGGAATCAGGTGTGAATTGGTTAACAGGGATGCCGAATGATACCACTCCATTGTTGTTCACCTGGGGGTGGGAAAGGAACTGAGGGTCTATCTTTTATCATCACACCTATCTTTCTATCCATCCCCATGCTTGCTGATCAATTGATTGGTCTGTCTGTTTGTACACAGTGTAGCTAGAGTTGTGTGCATCCCAGAATATTGGCAAGACAAGGTGGATGAGCTTTTATATCTATTTTAATAATGTATGTTGTGATCTGAAAAAAGAGTAAGCTCAAAGGCCAGATTGTCTCTCTCAGCAACCAGTGATATTTATCTGTGAGCAGCTTAGCTTTTCATGTTTATGTGGCCCCTGTCACTCACTGCACACGCAGTGGATGTTGGAACCCATTTGCTTTTACTGGCCACAGAAAGGCATTTCATGCCTACCATGACCCCAATGGACCTCACTGCTGCCTTCCCTGAGGATCCCTCCCAACCTCGAGGGTAAGTCAGCTTCTCTGGTTTATTCCACCCATGCAATCTCCACCCTGGTTACCTGCCAGGAGGCCATTCTATGCTGACCCAGGGAGGCTGATGTCTGCCCTCTGAGAACTGGACTGACAGCCCATCCACTCATTTCTCAGAGATCACTAAAGAGCCTGCAGGTGCAGAAAAAAACCATAGGGTTTGGGTGGCTGAGAACACTCCCATGCAAAGCTTTTGATACGGTCTCCCACAATATTCTTGCCAGCAAGGCAAAGAAGTATGGATTGGATAAATGGACTGTAAAGTGGATAGAAAACTGTCTAGATTGTTGGGCCCAATGGGTAGTGATCAATGGCTCGATGTCTGGCTGGCAATCGGTTTCAAGTGGAATGCCCCAAAGATGAGTTCTAGGGCCCGTTTTGTTCAACATCTTTATTAATGACCTGGATGAGGGTATGATTTGACCTTCAGCAAGTTTGCAGACAATACTAAGCTAGAGGGAGAGGTTGATTCATTGAAGGGAAGGGATAGGGTCCAGAGTGGCCTAGACAAATTGGAAGATTGGGCCAAAATAAATCTGATGAGGTTCAACAAGGAAAAGCACAGAGTCCTGCACTTGGGACAGAAGAATTGTTACCCACCAGCTCTGTGATTCTTGGGGAACCAGAACATGGTCGCCTGTCAGCCTTGTGCTCTTGGGGAGTCAGGGAGTGACATTCATGGAAAACCATCCCCCTCCCTCAGGCCTCTGCTAGAATCAAAGACAAAGCAAAGAAAAGGCCGGGGGAAGACACACCTAAACTGCTTCAGACAAGGGTGATACAATTAAGGAAACACCCCAGCCTCATTTACATTAAAGATGGAACAGAGGGACATCTCATTAGCATACAGAATGGAGAGCAGCTCTTCCAAGGCAGGAACTGCACTGAACTATGGGACACCGAAAGCAGAGAAGCACTGCCTGATGGGAAATCCCTGCTCCAGATGCTAATGAACCTAGGCCTGCTCACACCCAAATTAGTCATTATCAGACCAATTCTAGTAACGATCCTATTGACATCCAAAATACTGAAACTGCCAAGTTGCATTGTGAGCTCGTTCAAGGAACATCACCCATAACCAGGGGTGATCAGTCTCTATTGTCTCTCCTCTTTCTCTTTGAACTATCTCTATAAAACTCCTATCCTTGCCCCAAGAAAACTGTTCTGATACCTGGACTTAAACTGCATCAGTTCCATTGAGACTTCTTCATCTCCTGTCTGATCGTGCTGGGGGCTCTGTCCTGCTTTTCTCCTGCCCTCTGGACCCCCGGCTACCATCATCATCTGGGAACCCCGATCAGTGCAAGCTCCGTGGAGTGGTGAGGTCTCTCTCTCTCTCTCTCTTTCTCTCTCTCTCTCAACTATCTCTCTAAGCATAGCCTCCTGACCCTGCCCTGTGTAAACTGTTATATGGTTACCTAACATTTGTAAGCAGCAGCATAGCCTCCTGACTCTGCCCTGTGTAAACTGTTATATGGTTACCTAACATTTGTAAGCAGCTTCAATTTAGATTTAATATTGTAATTGTTAGATTTAATATTGTAACTGTTTGATATCTATTCACTACTCAGAAATAAATCACTTTCATTGTTAAGCTGGTTGCTTCTCTCTCTTTCTTTCTCTTTTGCTCACTCTTCCTTAAGGGGTGTTGTTTTGGCTTCCCCATTCGCTCTGCAACAACGCTTCTTGTACCCAAGCAAAAGATCCCTGTAGTGCCTCAAATCCTGTGGGGTTTGCTCATCGTGTGGTTTACCAGTGAATGACTGTGGTGTGAAAGTGGGGATAGGGGGTGCTGAACCTGGGGGCTTATGAGGATGGCAGCTTAAAGTGCTGTTTAATCCAGCCCACGGAGTCCAAAGGCACAGGAGGGTGCAGTGTGGCAATGCTGTGAAACCCAGCCAGCTGAGTCCAGGGACATATGAGGGGGTCAGCTTGTCAGTGCTGAGTACCCAGTCCTCTCAGACGTGCTCTGTTAGTGGGTGTGAGTGTCTGTGTGTGTTGCTAAGGTGGTAAGAACCCCATCCTGAGGAACCTAGTTCCTGCAGGAGAGCTCCAGTGGGAGGGGGAATTGGCAGCAGGGAGAATTCAGCTCCATATGAGAGCCCAAGTAAGCACCAACAGCACACTGATAGAACTGTTAACCTTCCCCCAGTCCCATAAGGGTAACCCTGATAAATGAGCATACCCCAGAGTATTGGGCAAATCTGGTAACAGAATCCAAAGCATTGTTACAGGCTGGGAACTGACTGGCTAAATAGCAGTTCTGCAGAAAAGGACCTGGGGGTTACAGTGGATGAGAAGCCAGATATTAGTCAACAGGGTGCCCTTGCAGCTAAGAAGGCTAATGGCATTTTAGGGTTCATTAGGAGGAGCACTGCCAGCAGATCTAGCAAACTGATTATTACACTTTATTCAGCACTGGTGAAGCCATATCTGGAGTATTGTATCCAGTTCTGGGATCTCCACTATAGAAAGGATATGGACACATTGGAGATGGTCCAGCAGAGGGCAATCAAAATGATTAGGGGGCTGGAGCACATGACTTATGAGGAGAATCTGAGGGTATGTCTACACTAGCCCCCTAGTTTGAACTAGGGTGGCTAATGTAGGCATTCGAAGTTGCAAATGAAGCCCGGGAGTTAAATATCCTGGGCTTCATTTGCATCTTCCCGTCCGGGTGCCATTTTTAAATTCCCTTAGTTCGAACTGACTGCCCGCGGTAACACGCAGCAATCAGAAGTTAATCCGAACTAAATCCTTAGTTCGGATTAACTGTTACACCTCATTGCAGGAGGAGTAACAGTTAATCCGAACTAAGGACTTAGTGTGTGTAGCCATGGGCAGTCAGTTTGAACTAAGGGGATTTAAAAATGACACCCACTCGGGAACATGAAAATGAAGCCCGGGATATTTAAATCCCGGGTTTCATTTGCAACTTTGAATGCCTACATTAGCCATCCTAGTTTGAACTAGGGGGCTAGTGGAGACATACCCTGAGGGAGTTGGGCTTATTTGGTCTGCAGAAGAGACGCGTGAGGGGGGATTTGAAAGAGGTTCCAAAGAGGCTGGAGAGAGGCTGTTCTCAGCGGTGACAGATAACATGAGGAGCTGTGATCTCAAGTTACAGTGGGGGAGGTCTAGGTTGGATTTTAAGAAAAACTATTTCCCTAGGTGGGTGGGGAAGTGCTGGATTGAGTTCCCTAGGGAGGGGGTGGACTCTCCATCCCTAGAGGAGTTTAAGTCCCATCTTCACAAAGCCCTGGCTGGGATGATTTAGCTGGAGTTGGTCCTGTTTTGGGCAGGGGACTGGATTCGATACCTCCTGAGGTCCCTTCCAGCCCTAGGATTCTATGATTCTATAATTCTATGCAGAGACAATGAGCAACTTACATAGATAGAGCGGTATCTCCTGTCATAGAAGGAGAAGTGCACTGAGATGGGGATTTCAGGAGATGCCCCATCGTCTGCCTTGGGGGTTCTTCTGTCTCGGAACATGGTTCCATAGGGATACATGAGCGTATCTGAAAAAACACAAGGCGAGGAAAGTGGGAACAGTTATATGGAGAACTGTCTTCCTGTCAGTCTAGCGTAGTTCTAGCCGTGTAGGTCCCAGAATACGAGACAGACAAGGTGGGTGAGGTAGGCCAACTTCTGTGGGTGAGAGACTAAGGGTATGTCTACACTGCAGAGTTTTTCTGGGATACCAGGTATCCTGGAAAAGCTATGCTACATCCAAGGAACACGTCCGCTTTCTGGAAAAGTTTCCAAAAAAGCAGACGTGTTCTTTCAGCATCCCTGTATTCCTCATAGTATAGGAAGAAGGGATGTTCTGAAAGAGGAGGGTTTTCCAAAATTTGGCCCCATGTAGACGGGCCAAATTTTGGAAAAGCCTCTTCTGAAAAAAAGCAGAAAAAGATATGCAAATTGTGGTTCGCAATTTGAGTATCCTTTTCCAATATAACTCTGCAGTCTAGACATAGCCTAAGTTTGTGAAAACACAAGAGTTTTTCTTCAGGTCGGGAACCGAATGTCACAGTTACATGCAAGTTGAGACTGATTGTTTAGCATAAGGCATAAACATTCGCATTGTTGACTGTCAAGGCTTTTCCCCCCACTCTAGCATGATGAAGGCAGAAGTGGGGGCCCGCAAAAGTACCCCAAAACCTTATCTTTCCAGGCTTGGGCATAAAACTTCCCCTCAAAATTTTAAAAACCTAGATTTTGGGGATAAAAATCCGTTGCCACCACCCAAATAATGATAAGAAAGCCAGGGGAGAGATCACTTGGGAAATCTCAGCCCTAAAGTAAAAACCAGGACACAATACCAGGTTAATAAAAAAGAAAGAGTAATAACTTTTATTATCACCACAATACTCCTATTAAAAGCATAATGACTAGATGGAAAAGTCACCAATTAATATACTCATGGAGAGTTCCCACCATGGGCCAAAACTTAGTTACAAAGGAGAGAAACCCCCATTTTTAAATGCACAAACATCAGATTCCCATTCCCAAACCATAAAACAATAAAACCTAACAGATTTATCTAAATTTTACCCTACTTACAGATAGTGACGAGTTTTTTCTTGGAGGGAGACATATTGTCTGTCCCCCTCAGTAGCTAGAGAAAAACGGCCCAGGGACAAAGGAGGGAAAACCCCAAAAATTCCTTTGTCCCAGTTTGAAATTCCTACCTACATTTCTATTGGCTAAGCAGATACCTGGCTAGGTACAGTTAAACCCTTAGGGCTCGTCTACACTGGCCCCTTTTCCGGAAGGGGCATGTTAATTTCACTAGTCGTCGTAGGGAAATCCACGGGGGATTTAAATATCCCCCGCGGCATTTAAATAAAAATGTCCGCCGCTTTTTTCCGGCTTTTAGAAAAGCCGGAAAAGAGCGTCTACACTGGCCCCGATCCTCTGGAAAAAGCGCCCTTTTCCGGAGGCTCTTATTCCTACTTCAAAGTACTTCAAAGTAGGAATAACCGGAAAAGGGGCCAGTGTAGACGTAGCCTATGATTGCCCTTTATCTCAGAAAAATACATTTAATTAAACTGAAACAAAAACTATAAGTGCCACATAGTCCTGTTTTTTGTTTCAGCTACACCAGACTAACACGGCTACATTTCTATCACTATTTCATTAAACTATCACTGATGATAATTCCTGTTACAGTAAACATCAAACTATACATCACTAACAAATTCTGTAGATTTTCAGATTAAATATCTGCTCTGCATTTAGTGCTGGTAGAGTTAGGGGATAAGTAAAACAATCTAGTATATATTCTTTTAATGGGTTTTTAATACATTTGCTCCCATGCCCTCTGGCTTCTCCATCCATGTAATGATCGCGCTGAGCCGACAAACAGCTGATCAGCTGTTTGTTGGCTCAGCGCGGCAGCCATGTAAATTTAAATGAAGCGGTGATTATTTAAATCGCCGCTTCATTTTACTATGTCGGGTAGCCTAATCTACATGCCTCTGGCGACAGAGGCATGTAGTCTAGACGTATCCTAAGAGACGCCATTCTTTACACCCAGACACCTTCAGCAGTCCTGCAACTAGACCCTGACACACACAAGGAACTGGTGATTTCACAGGGACTACTCGTGTGCTTAATGTTGTAAACATGTTTGGCTGCTGTGTTGTATTGGGTTGGAGCTGAGGCTAGATCCACTAAGGGTTTTAGATGCAGTACTCCAACGCCTAACTCTCAGGGGTTCTGCTGCCTACTGGAATACATAGCTCTGAGTTAGACACACAGACTCCCTGTACCTGGGGTGGAGAACATATGAGCCGGGGGCTGGATTTGGCCCCTGGCATGCCTGAACCTGGCCTCCGAGGCTCCTGCACTGTCCCCCTTACCCAAACCCCACACCCCAAGTCTGTTTTATGGCAGCCCCCTCCCACACACTGAATGCCTCATTTTTACCCTACCCCAGAACTTTGGGGGGGGGGCACAAAATCTACTAGCCAGGGCCCCCGCAGGCTGTAGTATTCAAGGGGAATGTGGGGAGCATCTTTCTGCTTTTCAGTTGGGGGCCACACCAGTGACTTTTTTTTTTGCTTCATTTTTGCTTCTCACTTGTGCATGGCCCCCGACTGATTTTTTCTGTGGGTCAGCAGGCCTCAGCCCAAAAAAGGTTCCCCACCCCTACCCTATACAACGTATAGCAGGGGTGGCCAACCAGAACCTAAGAAGGAGCCAGAATTTACCAATGCACATTGCCAAAGAGCAACAGTTCTATGTCACCAGCCCTGCTCATCTCCCCACCACCACTCTCAGCACCTCTTTCCCACTGGCAGTGCCTCCTTTTCCTCCTGCCCCCTGTGATCAGCTCTTTCTCAGTGGGAGACACTGGAGGGGGGAAGCATGGGTGTGACAGGCTTAGTGGAGAGGATGGGAAGTGGCAGGATCCTAGGGGAAAAGGGTGGAGAGGGACAGCGCTTAGGACAGAGCTGGGTGCTGAACAGTGAGCACCCTCCATACCAGTGGAAAGTTGGTACCTGCAGCTCCAGCCCTGGATTTGGTACCTATGCAAGTGTAACCCTTCTGCCAAGCTGAGTAAATAGCAGCAAGGGCCGGGTTCTGTATCTAGGGGTCTCCTCCCAACAAGGTAATACAACACCGGCTCGAGCCCCCACCCAGTGACCTGAGAAATCTTACATACACCTCTGGGTGCCTCAAAAGAGGCAATTCTTCCCCTCTCGCAAGCACAGAGCCTCAGTATAGTAGCAAACCTTTAATAACATGAGGTAACCGACATCAGCATTAAATTGGGGAAACACCAGAACTCGGATTTACAGACCAAACATGAGCGAAGGCCAAACATGAGTGAAGGCCGTCCCCCCAGCCACATATCCCCCCAAAGTCCCAAAAGTCCAACACCCCAAAAGTTTCTGCCCAGGGTCAGTGCCGCCCCAGGGTGAACGCAGGGTTTCACCATCCCAACCTGGAGGGGCGGGGATCGATACACCTTACGTGGTCCGCTGGTGGCTCCGCCGACGCACCTTACGTGGTCCGCTGGTGGCTCCGTCGATAGTTCCGCCTCTCCATGGGGTTCTGCTGCCGCCGTCAACGCAAGTCACTCCGCCACACTCCGCCTGTCGTCCAGTGAGCCGCCTCCACTATCCGGCTCCACCAGCCGTCTCGGTCCACGCCCCTGGCTGCCAGCTGGTTGCTCCTGCCGCTGCCGTTCTACCAGCCGCAGATCATCCCCATCAGCCGCTCTGCTGTCCGCCCGCACCCGCAGGTCACCCTCGCCAGCTGCATCTGCTGTCCGCCTGCAACCACCGGTCATCCCGGCAAACCACCTGCACTTGCTGGTTGTCCCTTGCAAGCTGCTCTGCTAGTAGCCCAGCAGCACAGCACCAGGCTCCCCTCAGCAACAGTGATTTCAGTTCTTGTTCTGCAGCACAGCACCAGGCTCCTCTCAGCAACAGCAATTTTAGTTCTTGTTCTACAGCACAGTGCCAAGCTCCCCACAGCAATTTCAGCTCATAACAGAGAAGCCTTAGCACTAGTGCTCCACAGCTCACAACTAGACTCCTAACAGAACCCAAATTAACTCTGATATTCCACAGTGGCAAGAGAAGGGAATGCAATCAGTGTTGCAGCAACCCTCAGACAGACCCCCCCCCCCATACAAAGGCTTGTCCCCACTTTCTCTCAATTTGACTGAGTTTGGAACCCATGCCCCTTGTCTAGCGAGTGCTACTTAGTTTATGGCGAATCTCTCTGTCATAAACAGTTCCACCAGTCCATTGTCCTTGATTCGCATAATCAGGATAACAACACTTTTATCCCCCCTGCCTCAATAACAGAGACTGGGGATCCCACAGTGGCCAAAGTGACCATTTGGGCTGCTGTAAGCACACACTAGACAGGGTGGGTGTGTCTATGCAAATTGGGCTCAGCCCCTCAAGTCTCTTTGTACCACTTGCCACAGTTCACCACCAGATGTCAGGATAGAATTTACCCTGACCCCGCTTACATCAGGAGCTGCATATTAACTTCTGAAGAGCTGTATTTGGCTCTGGAGCCACAGGCTGGCCACCCCTGTCCTAGATGGTAAAAGCTAGGGCCACCAAATGTGATATGCAACTTCCTCTTCTCCTAACTTAAAGCAAGCAAGGTCAGAGTTTGGTTGTGCCAGGACACCCAGAAGCCCCTGGAAAAGGACTGTTTTCTATAACATGCAAAGGGAGGGGCTGTTGTTCAGGGGGACATGATATGAGAGTGGCCACTGGGGGGCAGAAACCCCAGAGAGGAGAATTACCCTGCAGAGTGTCCACTGGGGGCAGCAATACCATCAAGGGGGGTGGCCAGAAGGGGTAG